GCAGTAATAGAGGTAGGCTGCGTATCCAGCTCTTATAGATGTGATTACGTCAACCAAACTTAACTTCACTGGCAAAAGATCTTAGTTTAAAAGTCTATGACTGAATTTTGAACTTGTGGCAAATAACTGCGTCATCACATCCAAAAAGGTAAGGAAAGCCAGCCTAAGTCACTTGACAATATACAAAAGACTAGCTAAAACAAAATTTATAATTTTTTTACTGTAATTTTTCTTCATGTTTTACTTCTTCCTATCAAAGATCACAAGTATTTCAGAACAAGGCTTTTTGACATAACTTCTAGGAGAACCATACTGGTGCAGACTTGAGTCTCATTATCCTGATACATAATTTTGCTGAATGTGAGGGACTTTAGAGTTTAGATTGTCACCAGCTTAGGACAGAGGTTGTAAATAGAAATGATTTCTTCACTACACAGTATCAGCTTTGATGTTGCAGCTGTTCGGACTTTGCTTTATTTCTCTATGACATTTAATGTTTTCAAATGATAATTTGAAGACAGTCTCATCTGCCTAAACCTAAATTATGATGCCTTAAATAATGTCAATTGCCATTATCATTCTTCTTTTGGTTCAGTCATGGTGGTGCAAAACATTCACAAGCCTTCTCTAAAGGCAAATAGGTTTAAGGACAACAAATCCCTCAGAAAGGCTGACTACTCTTATGCAGCTTTCCATTGACCATGTTCCCCAGCTACTTATAAGGGAAGTGTTTTTCTGGTAATAAGGACGGAAAACAGCTAGCCCAACAGTGCAGAACCAGAAGACTGGCTGCTCATATAGGACAGGATTAAAATAATAATGTTCTCTCATGTTTTAGAGCTTTGAGATGTTCAAACTCTAGACTTCAGTGTGGACTGAAGGATAGCCAAGCTAGTTTTTAGTAGAATAATGAATGAAGCAACTGCTTACTACCCACAGCTTGTTGGTAGGGTATTTACTCTGCGTGGGACCACAGGAAGGAATACTCAGAGTTTGCACCTCAGCTTAGACCCTTTCAAGCTTGTGTACCTCTGGAACATACTGCAGTCTCCTCTAAATTAGATGTACATGTTACCTGCATGGGAAAAACCAGTCCTTTCAGAAAAAAAAGAAAAATCAAAACAACTGTTGGCAAAAAGTTGAACCTGTGTGAACAAATAAAAAAGCAGTGGCACAAGCATCAGGTCTTTGGTCACAAGAAATTGGCTATTGTGTTTTCATTTGTAACAGATAAATCTGTCATACCTAAACCTCACTGTCTTCTTTTCTTTTCCTGTTTTACATGGCTGTTTCCCAACAAGAAAAGACCTTCACTCCAGAAACTCATGGCCAATACAGTAATTAACTGTGCTGAAATGCACGACTGCAGTCAAGCAGCATCCTATCCTGGCCTTCCACTTAGATGTTTTTGCATCTTCCCCGCTCATGACAGAAGGAGTCTTATCCATTCTTTTTAATTTCAGACCTCCTGCTGCTACCCTTGATTGTAGATGCAGCTTTGTATTTCTCATCAAAATCCTCTTCAGGCCAAGAAGCAGAAAGTGGGATTTGTAAAGTGGAGATTTATTCTATAAATATGGGAGGACCATGTAGACAATCATAACGATACATTTCCACCTCCTTCCAGTAGATCTTTCCAACTTCTGCTGCAACAGCTACTAGTTGACCATGCAGAAAGCAAAAACCAACGAAGACTGAACGTATATGACTGAAAAGTGTCATTAGAATTAAGCTCAGGTCACTCTTTTCTTCCTTCAGTTGTTTTGCCTGTATTGTCAGTCTTGTACAAAATGAGTATCTATTTCTCATCTGTCCCTCCTTGCGTTGTTCTTTGGAGCAGGATACACTTTTACCTTGTGCAGTGGGTGTTTTCAAACTTCATCATCCAAAATATTTAATATCTAGAAATCTGATGGCCATCATCCTTCTCTACCTTTTAGCAGCCCAATCTAAAGAAATTCGCATGTTAGATATATGTTAACAGGGAACAAACAAAACTTAATTACACGCAATGACCCTTAGTATAGATTAGATGGACAATGTCCTCAGGCACATGGTGTGAATCTTGGGGTTTCCTGTGCAAGGCCAGGAGTTGCACTCAATGACACTGATGTACCCCTTCCATCTCAGCATATTCTATGATTCTATGACTATTGAAGTGTAATTAAGCTTTGCAGTGATGCTAACATAAATTTGAGCAATATATTTCTAAAACCCCACTCCTTTTTCTCCTGTTTTATGTGCTTTGCCATGCCAAGGCTTTAAACAGAGTGCTAAGGAGCATGACACCACTTCAATAAAGCTTTCAGTTGTAAAAACACTCACTACTTTAACCATGGAGCATCCAGGTCTATCAGTGCCTGTCTGCTTGAAACCTAATATGTATAGACAGTGCCAAAACACTTAACATCTTGTAAAACTGAGATATAGCTCAGTTGTTAGTAAAGTCTCACTTAATACAGTTGATCAATCATAGCTTTGCCAGTCCTACGTGCACTGCCAGGAAGCCATCCTATATGCATTTCTTGGTACATCCTGGGAGACAGCTCATTTGGCAATGCTGCTGTACTACTGCCTGCAGTGGTTGTGGAAAGCTTATACCTTTAGGGAAGGTTATACCTTCCCACTAAGATGGTGCCAAGACCACAAATTATTGTCTAGGTGTCTTGTGGATGAAAGTTACTGAGTATCTAGCCAACAATCTCCAGAGATGATGGCATTGGGCTCTCTCAGAATGGGTATTAAAAACTCCCAAGATCTGGGTCAATTTTTTTTCTTGACACATAACACTAAGGCTTTTAATGGAACTAGATGCAACTGATATTGAACAAATAATATCAGGTAGGACTTTGCATAGGTGTTGCCACTGTGTACATATTGCGTAGGTACACCCATATACTGTGCCTACTGTATCTGTAGTTGTACTACAATATAAGTTTTCTCTTACCAGAGCTCATTTTAGGCAGAAACACTGAGTAATTTACATGGCAAATGTGGGGTTTACCCCATTAGGTGGTTTAAGATGCTGAGATTAACTTACATATATACTGCAGTTTTTCTACCACTACAGACTCCTAGTATTAGCAGTTTTGGATCATTAGTTGCCACAGTTAGCAGACAGATATCTATTATTTAAGTTAACACTCATAAATTTCCCCTTTTCAGAGTACTTCAAAACAAATTTCGGTTTTATAAGCTTTTATGAGTGATTTAAAAATTGTTTCAGTAAAACATTTTTTAAGTGTCATTGTATAAGAAAGTTGCTTAAGAGTATGGGAAAAATGTGGTACAAGAGAAATGCAAATCTGCATAAGCCTCATTGTGATTTAACCCTTTTAGAACTGAGAGTAGCATAAAGGGCTTGACTTTTTTTTTCCGTGCAAATGTATATAGACTGCACACAGTAAACCCCTCATTTATACCACGGCCTTGACAAAAAAGTGTTCAATTAATCTACAAAATGTAGAGTCATCATCTCAAAAAAGTAATTCACTTCTTTAAAAACTAGGAGGAAAATAAATATGATGCAGTAAAATTGTTGAGTAGAGGAATCTATCTGGACATTTCACAAAACATTTCATTATGCTGATAATTCCCAGAAGTGCTCTCAAGAGTGCTTTAAGCTGAGGATTACTGCACTGGATCTGATGGACTTTTTTGTAGCTCCTTTAAAAGGCAGTGAACCGTTTTTCTATTTTATTTAAATAATGCCCCTTAAAATGGATTTTTAGAGGTATAATAACTCCTTAAGAGTCAGTTATGCTAAACAGTTTCTCTTGATAGAAATGTTGTAAAACTCGTTAACTGCACAATTTCAGATGCTGGCTTGGTGAACACTAACTGACATGTGAATGGCCAGAGTTTGTAAAATAAATTGAAATAGTTGTTGTATCACACAGCTAGCAATGCACGAGTTGTAAGTCACAAGGGGCTCAAACCTGACAGAAAATTACTTCAAGATGAATGAAAAGTGCTTGTTTCTCTTTATTAGTTTTTAGAGAACAATGAAAATGTTGAATTGTTTACAGAAGGGTTGATTAAATGTGGTCAGTAGGGCCGTGTCCTTACTGCTGTTAGCCTTCCCAGCACCCAGCTCTTTCCCTCCACCCCATGCATCTTCTTACAGACTATAATGGTCACACATCTGTGTGTGAAATGTGCTCATTTTGACATTCCTCTGCTGCTCTGAGCTGTTGAGGCCTTTGTTAGGTAAAACACTGTTGTCAAGCCTAACAAGCAGGTCATGCAATTTACTGGACACTGCAGCAGAGAATAGCCCTGCTATTCTGCATCTAACAATGCTTGGTTCAATATCGAAATACATATGTATTTTTTTTCTTTGTTTGGCCCTGATACTTTCAATATTTTGAAGAAATGCATATTTTGCATTAAAAAAAAAAAATCTGAAATGGGCTTGACATCACAGCACACAGTCCGTTTTATTCTTTTTTGTTAGATATATTGCAGTGGGAGAGGGGAAAAGAGACTTCAGCTGTCCTTTTCTGAGCTAAATTCATTTTCTATGTTGTACTAAAGGCACAAAGAAGAGATGCATCGTGCCACACCATATTCTAGCAGATTATTTGGTCTGCTTTCAAAGCAATTCAAATTAAGGCCACTTTAGGAGAAGTGGTATTTGCACAAGATGGCAACAACAGAAAATGTCCCTTTGAGGCAGTGACTTTAAAAACATCTTAAAGATCAGGTTCATTTAGCAGCAATCAGGAGAATAAAAACCACTGGGTATGTTACTATGGCTGTTGAACAAAATTGTCTTTTTTTTTGTTTTCCATCCTATTCCATAGCTTTCATCCCTTCCCCCTCTTCCCCAGAAGAAAAATCAACTACTACTGTGCAAGGGTTTGAATGCTATTTGTGGCAATCTGTCACTTTGCATAGTGTTCCACCCTGATGTGAAAGCAGGATTTTCTTTTTTTTCTATCTGCAGAACATGCTTTTCCAGGCCTATTATGTGTATAAACAATGGCATATGTAATTACCTTTCTGGGATGACAATTATTTCCCTGCATAACAACTGAAGTTAAGGCAATCGATCTTGCTGCCCCCCACCTTCAAATAAAGGCTATCCTAAATATCAAACAAAAAAAATCATTTTGGGATGAAATCAAGGCTTCTTATGTCAGCCTAGTAAGGGACAGATACTATCACTACAGCCTCTAAATGTCAGCATGATCTTTTTTTTTTTTCCAAGCAGTAATTGCTTTACATTTTGTTTCAGATTGAGTCATTTCAACCTTTGCCTATAAGCCAGTTTTGGCACCCCACCTCCTTATACTGAAAACTTTTGCACTTTTGCTAAGGCGGATTTCCTTGGCAATTCTGTGGGTAAGAAAATACCATACCTGTCATGTCAAAACTGTTGGAGGGTGCGAAACGCTGACTTTCTTGTCTTGCTTCAAGCTACAGGAGGTTATTTAGAGTGGTGGGCTGAAAGAGTGAGGGATGAAGGAGAGGTTTTTTTTCCCTTTCCCCCATTGTGTCCATCTTGCTGTGTATGATTACAGTCCTCAATGGACAAGAAACATCCATGCCTTCAGCTGGACAGGTCTGGGCAGATCTGCCTATAGACAGATCTGTCATTTTTTCTCTGTATCTCGCAGTTTAACCTACCTCAAGGTTTCCACTGTTGTTTTAAATCAAGGGCCTGATCCTACAAAGCAGCATGGCTACGTTTGTGATTAGAATTCAGATCAGACTAAGCTAACCTAGACCCCTTACCACTGAGTAAGGATGGTCCCATTCCTGGTCCTCTGTTCAGAGACCCAGAGATGCTTTTTGCTTCCTCCAGAGACAGCCATGCATGGCTAGAGCTGACACAGGCAACGGTGGCCCAGCAGCAGCTAGGAACTGTACCTGATGTAATTCAGGCTCATCAGAGCAGCCTCATCAATAAGCTGATATCAAAATACCAGTGCAGAACTACCCATCCATACATTTACAAAAACAACCTAAACTACATTTTGTGCCTGGAGAAGAGGAGGGTATAATACCGGTGCTACAATGAAAGTCGCACAGCAGCATGTTTCTTTTTCATTGTTACAAATTGAATTCACAAAAGGCAAAATCTGTTTATCAGCAACAACATATGCATGTCTTGCATCCTTTCTCAATCAAGCTTAAGCAAGGGCTTTTCTGAGTCTTTAGTATGCACTTAATTCTCAGGAAATAGGGTCAAACTGAAGTGGATTTGTGCAAGTTCTTTTTGCACCTGACAATGTTGTTATCAATGTGCCTAACAAGGTAGTCCTAATGCAAACATAACTAAATGAAGGGTGTTTTAATGATGAACCCTTCATTCTCTTCCATGCTACATGCACTAGGAGACTGGCTGCATGAACACCCTTCGTGTGTTATGTGCTTATAAAAACTAAAGAACAAAGGCCAAGAAAAAGCACACACAAAACATAAACTTAAAACCTAAGTAGTGCACATTTCCTTAGGGCATATATACAGGTCTTTTATTAACTGGCACACACTTCAGTTTTCCCTTTATCTTTGTCAGAAAAGACACTGCACAGAAAGAAAAAAGTAGATTAAAATGTTAAAAATTTCCTTTCTTTCCCTTCTTCTCTCCAGTTCCTGTGCTGAAGGGACAGTAAGCATCAAACATACATAGCTACATGCGTTCTCCTGCCCAGGGACAGCATCAGCATATTAATTGAACCTAACGCTGTGAACAGATTTCTGGAATTTATATCTGGTGATGATGTCAACAGAGGGGAATAAGAATTAGCAAAAGTCATTCAGTTTTGTCTGTCTGGTAATGGATAAAAGAGAAACAAAAATCACCTACAAAATGGAAATCACAAACAGCTCTGCTGGGGAGTACAAACACAACTTTGAAACTTTTCTTTCTTTTCCTTTCAATAGACATGAACATCATGAGTCAAAACAGGGGAAATATTAATCCTGACACCAGGATCTTTCTCTAACTCTTTTCCTTGTCAGTTTGAGTAGGTGGTTTTGGAGTTAACCCAAGTGCTGATTCCATCATTGTTTCAACAGTTAATGAGCTTTCTCTAACCAAAAAAAAAAAAAAAAAAAAAAAAAAAAAAAAAAAAAAAAAAAAAAAAAAAAAAAAAAAAAAAAAAAAAAAAAAAAAAAAAAAAAAAAAAAAAAAAAAAAAAAAAAAAAAAAAAAAACCACATTTTCTTTGTCTTGGAGATAGTTCTGAGGGCCATGTTCACCTCTGAGTCTGTGCAAAGAATATCTCTATAAGGTTTGAGCTGAGATCTGTTAATGGGAAAGAGAAATAGGGTATACTGTGAGATGACAACACCCTAAGGTGGTGATACTAGAAGCTAGTGTTACTTGGCATCTATCTTCACTTACATATACCTTCCTTCTATACCTCCTTTCCTAAGGGGATCTCAAAACACTTTACTTGCATAAATCAGGAGTCCTAGCCTTATTCTGGAATGGAAAAGTATTATCACACTTGTTTTAAGGTGAATACACTGAAATACAGGGAAAAAAATGTCATTATCAACAATAACAAAAAGTTGTTGCTAAAGTTGAAAATAGAACAGATCCAGACTACAGATAAACAGATCCCTGCCTTTTCTGTTTCATCCTGTTATGGGTAGAGAGTAATATCCAAAAGTCACTGAGTTATACTGTTCATATGTATTTAATCAGACCTGTTTACAGGATCAAGATACAGCTGTGAAGCCATCCTTCTCTGCAAAAAGATGTAAAATATGTGACTTTTATCTGGATTGCTTTCCTAGGAAATTTGGTCAGAAAGATAAGTTAAAAGTTCTAAGAGATCTGAGAGGTTCAGGTTCTGAGATCTTTCTAATAGAAAGGCCTGTTTGGGAGCTTTGTATTCAATATTGTTCATTTTCCTTTGTGAAAATGTGATGGCTTTATCTCCCCTAATCTACCCTCTAAAACTGCGAGTGGTTTCTTTAAGTAGTATTGTTCTTTTCCTGGTTACATTAGTATTATGAGGTTTTGTCTGATGAACAGAGCAAATACTGCTTCTCACTTGTTTTCATAGTTTCAGCTTCTGTAAAATGCCATGGATTACAGTAATACTGTTTTTCTGTAAGACACCAGGACTTCCTATAAGGAAGCCCCCCTTAATAAGCACAGACACCTTGTTACTTTTATTTCATCTCAGAGTATGTCCAATTCAGCAGTCACTGAATTCAGTCTTATCTGTTCAGATGTTGGGCTTTGACAAACTGCATAAACCCGTCATTGAGGGGAGGACATGTTATAGTTACTAGTCAGGATGTTACAACTTTCCTCATTGTTTATTGCAGATAGGGTAAAGTAGCACAAGCAGAGATAGAGAAGATGAAAGCAAGGTTAGTTAAACACTGAGCTACTTTGTGCTTAAAAAGAGTGATAGTGTCAGGCCAATAGTTCAAAGGTTCAGTGCAAATGCTCTTTGACTATTTGGTTTTTCAGTTGTAAGACTGGTCAGTGGAGAGATACCAAACATCCATGAAAGACAAACTCAAATTCTTCAGAGGAACACCACACGCATAAAAAGTGGCCGCTCTTCCTTCACACACTGATACTTAAAAATTTAAACTTTTTTGACCACTATAAACATTATTTCTGATTTCCTTTGCCTTTGAGTTGCAGGTGGTTTATGTCTTCCCATGGCCCTTTTATTCCACTTTTCTTATCAGGAATTACTTACACAGTAATTCAAATCCAATTTCAATATTGACTACTAGGTTGAAAGTTCTGTGTCAAATTCTGGCTCTCCAGCGTTTTCTGGTTCCATTAAGAACTTATGAAACATTAAGACTTAGGAAAAACAAGGGAAAAAATATCTAGTGAGTGATGTTAGTGAGTCAATTATGCTTGTGTTGCATGGTCCTCTAAGGTCACATTAAACTTGTATTGCTCCTAGTACTTAAAAAGGAACATTTCTATTAAAAATTAAAGCAGGTGAAGAGTGTCTATAGTGCATAAGATAAAATTTATGGTTTTTCTTTCTATCTGGCAGCAGATCACAGCTCTGTCCATCTGTACAGAGCATATATCCCTCTTGCACAATTTCACCAGTATGGCTAGGCAAGCACTAAATAACCTTCTTTGGGGCTGATCTTTACCTTTTTCTGCAGGAAAGCTCTGCTGAATCCCAGCAGTCACTTGGCCCCAGTATCCAGCCAGCTGGAAAGATGGTGCTGGGAGAAACTTCTTTGGTGATGCTGTATGGTGGTGCTTTTCATCAAGTGCAAGGACAACCCTGGCCAGGTCAAGCTTAGAACAGGATACGTGACGGTATGAAGCCATAGGTGCAGTTGGAGTGACATAAGTGATGAATTTTTCCTCTAGGGTTGAGCATCACTGCCAGCTTGGCCTTAACAGGACAGTGAGGTGCTTCCAGTCAGCTCCCTGTGTTACAGTTTCCTAGACATAGAGAGCAGATGTCTTCATCCTGTGTTTGTACAGCAATGAGCACAGAGGGATGCTGTCCTCTGGCTGCTGCACAGTGTCCCACTTCAAATATTTAAAGTAATGCATGAACACTCAGTACTGAGCTTGCCAGTATTGCAGAAAACTGTCCCTCACAATGGCCTACAGTCCATAATTAAAAACCTATTCCACTGACACCTTAAATTTCTGCTTTGGAGAGTAGCCAGGGAAAAGCTCCACTATATCAGCAATTTGTCTCCCTTCTCTGTATTGCAGCTTTCCTTTGTAACACAGATAGATATGACCACTGAAAAAAGTGAGCTGGTGGATGTATTTGTGTCTTCTGCTTTTGCAATCATTTTATGCTCTACCCAGAGGTACCTTTAAAAAGAATATCCTTTTGCCTCTACTTTACATCCCTCCTGGTGAATGCTCTCGTGTGGCCTGAGCAATTTCTCTGGTGTTCTCCTCTGATCAGTCTTATTTTGGTTAAATGTGGGACTAAAAATTAAAACTGTTCAGGCTGATGATGTTCAGTGTATGGAAAGAATCTCATATTCTTCTATTTAGCAACGTCACTGAAGGTGATAATGGTGTGTCATGGTCTTGTGTGCAGCTGCTTGACAGATGGCTAGAAAAATTAACTAATATTCTGATATCACTTGGAAGGAGAAATAATTGGCTCTGTCAGGCTTGGAAAAAATCACCCTACTTTCCTTTTCTACCTCGGTATTTATTAGGGTTTTCCCAAGTTATTCTTGTGTCACTAATCTCATCTGAAAAAACTAGATTCACTGTTCTGAATCTGGAATTAAGTTGATAATAAAGTTAAAAAATCAAATTTATCTGAATTGTATATGTATGTACACTGAATGGTCTGGCTGATATTCTTGGGACAGGTCTACTTCTCCAAATTTTTGTACTACAATTCTGTTACCTGTGAGCCAAACGTTACTCTCACTTTTGGAAGTCCTTGTCTGGCAGGCTGCACAACTCTGATTTTTTTGAGAGAAGTTCTGTATTAAAACTTTCAGTGTTCCCAAAAAGCAGAATCTTCCTCTTCCTGTGAAATTTCATATCTTCAATGTGCCTCGTAACACCAGGCATTAAGAAAAATATATCAATATTTTAAGATGATACCAAGCACTTGGGTCTTTAGGTTTCGAAGATGGTATAACCTATAGATCTGAAGAGATTTGAGGTGTAGTAAGAGTCAAATAAAGATCCAGGAGATAATGTTTTTTATTGTTTGAGTGGAAAGCTTGATAAGGTTTGTCAAGTAAACAACCAGCATTTTTACATTAAAATTATGAAGGAAGCAACAATTACAATTACTAACTCTCTTGTATGTCAGAAAAGGTAAGGTCTCTAGTATCAGCCAGACTGTTTTCCTTCCTAAGAATTCACTCAGTGTCTCCTCTGTCCCTGGATGCCACTTTCAGTTTACAAAAGTAAGTCTGGAGTCTCCTTCAAATGCTGAAGTTGTGACTAATTTTGCCAGTAAAGCAGGCTGGACCCCTTGGCAGAGTTTGCTCTGCCATCCCCTACGAGGCTTCCGGCCTTTTGGCCTTTGGTCCATTCCTTGTCAGGGTCAGGAGGCTCAAGATCTCATTGGCACCAGAAGCCATAAATACTGGTCCTGTAACAGCAATAGCAAGGCAGAAATGAGTACAACAGATGACACCAAAAAAGTAATTTTATTTAAGAAAATAGCCATTCATATTTAAATTTTAAAGGTAATAGTACTGGAACTTTAAATTACAGCTTTCAGTGGCTTCACACTGAATCTCTCAATTACTCTTTGTAACTCCCCAGAGCATGTGTGCTGTGACATTGATATTGCTGTTTAAATCAAAAATTACATCTGTGTACACCATGCAGGGATCCTGCCTGTCTCCAATGCCAGCAACTGGGCAGGCATACGAGGAGGTATCGCTCCTAGGTCTGAGCCAATCGTGGTAGCCTCATGCACCCAGAAGGTGGGCTGGGGAATGCTTCTGCAGGTATAGTACTGGTGAAAGGACAGCCATCCCTGAAAGAGGCAAGACAACCCTGTCAGTTATTATTATTGTAATAGCTGTTGAGGTTGCCATAGCACAGAGATGCTGGAGCATCCAGAGATGGCAAGGTGCCTTGCAGTTGGGATGAAAATGGAGAGTGGATAAGTATTTTCCTTCAAAGAGAGCAAAACTATATAGAGCAACCCAAAAGGATGTGGGAAAAGAAATAAGAGTGGAGAAAGTTTTAGGTGTGTTACATTCTGGTGTAAATTAAGTCCATATTATGGATTTTGTTGTTGTTACTAAAAGCTCTGTTTTAATAATTAACCTACCATGATGGTCCCTTCATCTACAGCTCCAGTCCTAGAGACAAGGACAAAGCTGGCAAGGAAAATGCTCAGTTCCGTGTGACCAGAAAATACACTTTTAAACCCTGGAATAGAAGAAGGTCTTAGAAATGATTGCTGTAAAACAGGTTTTTGTGAGCAACCAGCTTTGAAAATGTAGGGGATTGCTGTTAAGGAAAAGGCAAATTTTGTGCTGGTTGTACCCAACACTGATGAAAGCTAGAAGAGATTGAGCCTGCAGCTAACAATAAGTAGGAGACCACTTTGTCCTTGTAGTGACCCTGTCTAAATAACTAGAAATCTGCATACTGTAGCTTAAATCCAGCTGAGACTAGGCTCCTGCCTATTCCTACTTCTAGCCTGGATGAAAAGCATGAGGATGGAGGTCACTTAAACTACTCTGCTCATGCAGTTCAGAGCTATCTGAATAATCCAAGCATTCATTTTAAACAAACAAAGTGCCTGGCACTTTATGGTTCTGAGGAAACCTCCCTGAGATATGGGTGAATTATGGAGCCATTGTGTCCACTGCAGATCGAGTGGGAAATGGCAGTGCAGAGGAATGAATGCTTCATAAGGTAAACAGAAGTGCAAGAGATGGAAAATTTTTCACATTTTATTAAATCATACTTTTACAGTAGTTGTTGAAAGCAAAAAACACTGAATTATATTTAGATAATAGTTCCATAAATAACGCGTGTTTTCACAGCAGTTGCAAAGTCTGGAATTTATGTGCTAATTACAGACCCCAAATCATCTCTGCACAGATTTGCAATTAAAACTGAAATATTTTCATATACAATGTGAGCCCTGTATTCATAGCAACAGCTAAGAGACATGCTGGTTACAGTTTGCTCAGTAAATATGAATATTTTATGTTTGAACACAATTGTTTCACTATTGTTTTCCTTACGTTTGGTATATTAAAAGCTGGAAGAGTTTAAAGCTGAGTGCCACATTGTGGATTATTATTCCCTTTAGAAAAATATTCTGTATGTAGTAAAGTATATGTTGCAGCAATCTAGGGGAATGACAATCATTGAAAGACATGTAGAAAGAAAAAATTCTGCATATGGTTACCTTCTTAATAAATATTGTAAAAAGATATGCTTTTAAAAACCCTGTAGTGCCAACAAAGTAGAGGAAGAATACAAAATTAGGGAGAACATTGAATAATTCAGTAGCTTGTTATGTGATTAGGTCTGATTGGCCCATACTAAGATGCTGCTATAAAAATGATTTCCCATGGTAGCATTGGTCTTGGGGTGGGGGCTTATGATGTCCATAAAATGGGAGAACAAGGCTTACTGGAACTAATAATATCATGCCTGTGCAGAATGATTGATGGTCTTTAAAAAGGCCCAGATTGGTTTCATCTTTCTTCAGATTTTATCACTCACTCTTTCGTAGTCATGTGCAGTCATTAAGGCAAAGAGAGGTAACAAGTGTTTGATGTATAATGCTTGAGCCACTTTTGTCAGAACTGCATTTATTTTAAACTACTCTTGTATTTGATACTCACAAGATGTAGATGTTCTATATTTTTTTCTCCATCTGATAAGAACAGACAGTCCTGTGGTTGGATCAAGAGGTAAGCCAAGCTTGCGTTAAAGCAACGGTGCCAAAAATTGCAGTAAAAATTAAACAGATCCTCCTTCCTTGCACTGGGACCATTTCCATTACTGATTAAATGGATATAGAGCTGCACAGGACTGACATCTTGGGAGAACCTCATATCCTTTATTATTTGCAGTATGCACACACCTTTCAGAATGCTGCTTAAGCTTCTTGGAATACATTATCTGTTTCTGTTCACTTTCTGCTTCGTAATCTGCAGAGAGCCAGTAAAGCTTTTTTAATGTCAGAAGAAATTTCAGATGAATAGGGGAAAAAAACACTTAATTTAACCAATTGAGGAAAAAAGGGGTCATATCCACTTGTTTCTGAAAGCCTACACATCTCCTCAAATATGACAAATCAAGCCAGATATTTTAATCATTTGTTGTAACCATCCTTATCAGCAACTTATTCATAACAATCACAGATGTGTGAACTGAAAACTGTTTGGCAGAATCCCAAAAGACAAAGAAAGAGTATAAAAGGGTTGATCAAGTAGCAGTGTACTGGAGTCATGCTCATTTGAAAAACTTTCCATTATCCTCATTTGTTCTAATAGAAAGAATAAAAGAAATAAATCTGCAGGACACCAAATTTCTGAACCCCATCACTGATACATACTCATACTTTTGTATGTACAAGTATGATTGCAAGACCATATGCATACCTATACCATACACCTGTATGCTTGTACATGGCTGTGCAGATGGACACGCAGATCCTCTCACTTGTGATGTTTTTGTCTCCTATAGAGTCTAATGGTTTTTTGTTTTAACAATTTAAACACTGACTCAACACTGTTTAACAAAATCAAAAGCAGTTTTGGCAATTAATTTCTGCCATCAATAGTACTCTCAAATTGGGCAACTCCCCTTGGAACACGGAGCAGTAACAGCAAAGACTGTGAGAGTGAAAGAGCAAGACAATTCATTAGACAATTCTGCAGCAGCTAAAAGTGGTGAGGGATGTCAGACCGTGTTCCTGTGCTTCAGTACTAATGAGATTCATTGCATATTCATAATCCTAAA